CACCCAGTCGAACGAATTGACCTACCTGTCCGCCTGGGAAGCAGGGGAGACGGTCGGCACATGACCATCCGTTTCCTAGTGGTTGAAGAGCTCACGGCTTACAACCTCATCTTTGGCCGACCCACTCTTAATGAGTGTAAGGCCGTCATCATCCCTGCTCTCATGCTACTCAAGTATGAGAAGGATGATGGAACAGTTGGTTCCCTTAATGGGGACCAAAAGATGGCTCGAGAGTGTTATCTCTCGGATGTCAAGCCTGCGGCCGCAGCATCCGGCCGGGGCAAGCAAATGATTGACCTCGACGATGTCGAGGAAGAACAATCGGCTCCACCAGCCGGAAAGAAAAGAAAGACTGATCAGCTGGTGGTGGTCAAAAAAGAAAAGCAATAGCAATCACTGACCGGGGAAAGGTCGGATGATCTTCGTCCCCAGCCAACTGGTGAGCCCATTGATATCCCTCTGGATGATAGCCGTCTACAGCGGACCGTTAAGGTGGGGACGATTGCCTTTGCAAAGTTGGGTGAAAACCTTCACCAGCTGCTCAAGGAATTCAAAGACATCTTTGCCTTTGAAGTGAAGGAGATGCCAGGCATCAGCCCGAATCTTGCTGTCCACAAACTCGCCGTGGATCCTAAAAAGAAGCCCATCCGACAAAAGAAAAGAAACCACGGCGAAGAAAGAAGTCAGGCGGCAGCTGCCGAAGTAAAAAAGCTGTTAGATGCCAAGTTCATTAGGCCGTGCAACTTCCCTGAGTGGGTAGCTAACGTTGTGTTAGTAAAAAAGCCGAATGGAACTTGGCGGATGTGTGTTGATTACACAGACCTCAACAAGGCATGTCCAAAGGATAGCTATCCACTGCCTAAGATTGACAGTCTGGTCGACTCAACAGCCGGACATGCCCTGATGAGTTTTATGGACGCCTATTTAGGTTTCCATCAGATCCCCCTGTGGAAAAAAGATCAAGAAAAGACGGCATTCGTCACTGATCAGGGGTTGTTCTGTTATACGGTGATGCCGTTTGGTTCGAAGAATGCGCCTGCTACCTTCCAACGAATGATTAATACGGTCTTCATTAATCAAATCGGAAGGAATGTAGAGGCGTACATTGACGATATGATAGTCAAATCCAAACAGCAGGCGGATCACCTTGCTGATCTCCAAGAAACATTCGCCACACTCAGGCGACACAAGGTCATGCTTAACCCAAAAAAGTGTGTCTTTGGTGTTGAGTCTGGGAAGTTTCTCGGATTTTTGATTGACCAAAAGGGAATAGAGGCCAACCCTGAGAAAATACAGGCGGTAATCGACATGCAGTCGCCCCGTACTGTGAAGGAAGTGCAAAAACTAACAGGTTGTCTGGCGAGGAGATTCCTCAGCCGTTCAGGCGACAAGTGTCTCTACTTTTTCCAGGCAATCAAAAAGAAGACAAACTTTGAATGGGGGGATGATGCAGAGGCGGCCTTTCAAAGGCTAAAAACTCATCTGCACTCTTTGCCGAGGCTTGTCATCCCTTTGCCTAAAGAGAAGCTCTTCATGTACTTAGCCGTCTCTGATCATGCCCTCAGTGCTGTCCTCTTAGCTTAAACAGACGGCATCCAGCTCCTGGTGTATTTCATAAGCCATGTTTTGAGAAACGCGGAGCTTCGGTACCCCATGGTTGAGAAATTCGGCCTTGCCCTTTACATGGCCATCAAGAAGCTTAAACCTTACTTCTTGGCGCATGCGGTAGAGGTCTATACTGACCAACCGATCAAGCGGCCACTCACAACCTTGGAGTCTTCTGGACGAATGCTCAAATGGGCGATTGAAATGCAAGGATTAGAAATCACTTAAGAACCAAGGAAGGCAATAAAGGGACAAGCATTCGCTGACTTTATTGTCGAAATGACAAGGCCGGTTGTTCCGGACAATATAGACCAGGTTTGGAAAGTGTATGTGGATGGGAGCTCCACTGTGAACGGCTGTGGCGCGGGGATTATCTGTCAATCTCCTGAAGGAGATAAGTACAAATACGCACTACGGTTCAAGTTTCAGGTCTCTAATATTGAGGCCAAGTATGAGGCCCTGCTGGCCGGCATCCGGTATTGCAAGGCGGCAGGGGCGAAGAAGATATCCGCCTGCTCTAATTCTCAACTAGTCGTACTCCAGGTTAATGGAATGTACGAGGCCACTCATCCGGCCATGATAAAATATTTGCTGGCGGTCAAGAGTGAAGTTGGGTCACTTGAAGAATTTCATCTAACTCAGGTGCCCAGGTCTTCAAACAATCAGGCGGATGCTCTGTCCAAGTTGGCATCATCCGCCTCCTGTGAAATGCCTCGGTCTGCTTTCTGGGAGGTCATGGAAAAAATAAGTATATCTAAGGAACACCCCATTAGAATTCTTGACCGGAGCTCAACCTGGACGGACAGCATCCGGGCCTATCTTGCAGACGGCATGCTCCCAGACGCACCACGGGAGGCGACTGTTCTAAAAAAACGAGCAGCTAACTTCAAGTTGCGACAAGGAGAGCTCTTCAGGGCTGGCTTTTTGAAACCCCTGTTGAAGTGTGTTACCCCTGAAAAGGGGAAGGAAGTCCTCGAAGAGTTGCATTCGGGATTCTGCGCCTCCCATATAGGCGGCAGATCCCTCGCGGCCAAGGCCAGGCGGCTTTACTTTTGGCCAACTCTGGAGTCGGATGCCATGGAAATGGTGAAAAAATGTGACAATTTCCAAAAGTTTGGCAAGCTCATCCATCGTCCGGCTACAGACCTGACGGCCATCCACAGCCCAATACCCTTTGCCAAATGGGGCATGGACATTCTGGGGCCATATACAACTGCACCAGGCGGCAAGCGCTATATATTGGTGGCTGTGGATTATTTTACCAAGTGGGTAGAGGCTGAGGCAGTCAAAAACATCAAGACTAAAGACGTCATTTCCTTTATCTGGAGGAACATAATCACTCGTTTCGGGGTGCCCATGTCTATGGTTTTTGACAATGGTCCTCAATTTGAGACGCCTCAACTCAGGACTTGGCTGGGAGACCAGGGGGTCTCAAGCTTCTTCGCATCAGTCGGCCGGCCGCAAGCAAACGACCAGGTCGAAGCCTTCAACAAGTTAATCTCAGACGGGATTAAAAAGAAAATTGAGCAAGATGGTGGCCTTTGGGCGGATGAATTACCACACGTCCTTTGGTCCATCAGAATGACTGCTAAAGGGGAAACGGGAGAAACCCCATTCCTAATGGTGTATGGTGCAGAAGTTGTTCTGCCCATTGAGCACTATGAGCCGACCCTTCGAATCATGTTGTATGATGAAGAGGCGAATTGGGAGGCCATGCGCCTAGCATTGGACTCACTTCCAGAGCGCAGGGGCAATGCTGCCTTGCGTCCTGAGATATACCGTCTGAGAATGACTCGGGCATACAACAAAAGAGTACACAAGCGTCCTCTCAAAGTGGGGGACTTTGTGCTATGGAAAATGGAGGCAGTCGGTAGGGCGAACGAACAGGGAAAGCTAACCCCAAATTAGGAAGGCCCCTACCGAATTTATGAGGAAGTAAGAGACGACACCTACCGCCTGGAAGACCCAGACGGCAGGCAGCTGCCCAGAACTTGGAATGTAGACAACTTGAAAAAGTACTACTTCTAAGTACGAATGTAAAAACCTCAATTTTGTAAATCTCACGTATTGTCAATGAGAATATGCCTTCATTTCCCAACTTGTCTTTTTATTTAAGCTCTTAGTGTCCCCTGTATACAATACAGACGGCCAATACGTTTGTAGAGCATTTGTCTCAACCGCAGACGCTCCAATCATTCTGAAGGAACCGATTGTTTTAGAACAGTCGTTCCTACGAAATTCATCAAGTTTACACCAACACATGACGAATATTTACGTAACCATTTAAGAAGCCTAAGGCTAGATAAAATCATGATGAGGCCCATGGCCGGATGTTAATAAACAAAAAGAGACCGAATGGTCACAGTCTGCTCCAACATGAGTATGACCGTCTGCTCCAACATGAGTCAGATAACCGGCGACGTCCATTTGGGCGAATTCGTCGAGGAGAAGCATCTCCCATTTGGGTGGCACATTTCTCTACGAATATATCAAGCGGCCCTACCGAATGCTAAGGCAGCATTCGCAATCGTTTGTTTTAATCGAAAGTGAAATCTAAAAGACCTGAATTTTCTATCTAGCGCAGTTCAGAAATGGTCACTATTTCATAAGTAGAGGCTAAGCGAGGCATAAAGCCGGATGCTACTGTTATTGCTCAGGGGAAAAACAGGCGGAATATTTACAAGCTAAGTTAACTACTTAGCACTTATTGAGGCTATTGGCCGGATGACGCCTGATCCTTGCCTATGGGGCAAGACAGGCGGACAATTATTTTTAAGAGAAAATTGGTTAAGTTACAAACTTAGCATTTTATCTCAAAGAGGCCTATGGCCGGAGGCGCTTGTTTTTGCTTATGGGGCAGAACAGGCAGAGGTTTACCCTTAGCAAATTAGCTAAGTTGGAAATTTGAGTTAGTTCGAGCCAATGGCCGAATGAACACTTATGTTTGCCAATTCTGGATGGACGTCTGTCGCGTGGTTTGGGGCAATCACCATAGTGGTTGATTGACTTAGAAACCATGCATACTCTTCTAAGTATCAAAAATTTCTAAGTCAATCAATCCAATAAACCGAAACCACTCGACATCCGTCCAGGGGCAAGAACATTCGCATGGTATACAAGTTATAATACTTAGCCAAAAACATGCAATGAAAACTAAAAATTCAAGCAGTTCAAAGGACAGAATATGGATAACTTCAGCCAAATGGCCGAATGATTCAAATTAAAAAAGACCAATCGCCACCTGACGATTGGTTAAGATTGTCATCTGGCAGAGCCAGAAAGATTGTCAAATTACCCGACCCCTTGGTCGGTAAAGATACAAATACTCGGCACACAGGCCGGAAAAGAAAAGTACATGGCCATTCGGCCGCAGAAAAGCATAAAAGCTTAAGTGATCAGGGGAGAGCCTCTTTAGTGGCAGCCGGCCTGTCGTCCTTTGGCTGCTCTTCATCCTTTCTCTCTTGCTCCTCCGCCTGATCCTCCTCCTCCTCGCCACCAGAGGACGACTCCCCAGAAGAGTCGGACCCAGAACTTTCCTCGGCCTCAGCATTCTCAGCCTCTTCAATAAGGCGAGCGTCGAATGCTTTGCTGGCTTCGTCAAATTTGGATTTCCAAATCTGATAGTCCGAGTCCGGCTGTACAGCCGCCCAAGTGTCCCGCATGATGGCTTCATAATCGCTCATCATTTGCTTAACAGGAGCCTGTCTCTCTTGATCAACCACGGACTCAAACTTGGACTTCAGCTGATGCTCCTGGTTGCTGAGGCGCTGCTCCAGGCGGCCCACCTTCTGCTTGGCTTTCTCGGCCTCTTCTTTGACATCTTGAAGAGGCTCGAGCTTCTCCTTAAGAGTTGTAATCTCATTTTTAAGGGAAGTGATGCGCAGGCGGGCCGAGTCCAGGTCCTTCTTCACCTGCATATTGGCTTACACCTGCGAATACATCATATCAAGCGTTAGATACTCATTCTGAGCAATATCAAATTGAGCCCGATCCAAGGCGGACTCGGCCCGAGCTTTAGCGACTGTTACCTCTTTGGATTTCTCCTTGAGGGGTTGCCTGAGCCTTTGGACGCGCAACATGGCTTGCAAAAGAGCCGAATGGTTAAAACTAGGAGGAAAAAGAAATAATACTTAGCAAAAAAAAAAAAATTGAGCTAAGACTCATACCTCGCAGAGATTCCCCAAGATGCCATCCAAGTCAAGGGTGCCGACTCCTCTGACAGACGCCTTGTCATCTGGATCAACCGCCCTCAGCATGGACTTGGCCATCTGGACTACAGTCGGCCTCTGCACAGGAACTGAGAAGGAGAGAAAGTTAGAAAAATAACTCAAGTACACCTAAATGGAAGAACAATAGAGGCGAATAGATTTTACCGTCGTCCTTCTGTTCCTCCTCTCTCCCCAGGCTCCTCTTCTCTCCTGCTGAGCCAACAGCAGTGGTGGGTTGCTTAAAGCCACCCTTCGATGCCCTCTAGGCATCCGGTTTGCTGATCTCCTTTTCAGCTTCGAGAGAAGAGGCGTATGGGCCCTTCTTGGGCTTATGAGCAATGTGCTTCCGGCCGCCCTTGCCGGATGCGCTCACATCACCCGCCCTAGTCTTTTGGATTTTAGTGTCGGATGGTTTTGAAGGAGATTTGGAAGGTGCACCCTACATCAACACAAGATAAACGCAAGTTAGAAATCATTCGGGCAAATTTAATATTGGTCAGAAATGAAAGTATAACAATTTTCTACCTTGGAGGTGCCGCCAGTTTTCTGCTCGTCCACTTTGGTGTGAGTGGTTACTTCTGCCCTGTTTAGGACATTCGACCTGTATCGAGCAGCAGATACAACCGGCTTCCTTGTGGCCGAGAGCTTCTCCATTGCTTTGTCTGCAAAAATGAACAAGTGATTAGCGTCATTAAACAAGTACTGAAAAGCAAAAGTAAATTGCATATAAAACAGACGGCCGACTACCTCTCGGCATCTCAGAACTTAGCCCACAGGCGGCTAAGAATGTCCCTTCTTCAAACCACTTGTACAAAGGGAGATATCATTGAGGGGTGACCTCCTTGTCCCCCTCATCATTCGTCCACACGGACACGGTAAACAACCCCGCGTCCATGATCTCCTCCTTTGCCCGCCTGGGAACAGGCGGCAATGCGCTCCTGCCAGCTAGGAGAGGTGGATCCTTATTCCACCTGTTATACTTTTGGTTCAGGCGGCTGTCGGCAGACTTGACTATGTAAAACTTAGTCCTCCAGTCTTTCCACTTGTTCTCTTTTCCAATAGCCATCATGTACCCCTTGCAAGTGGTCAAGGTGTACCAGCCTTCACCGCCCCTAGCAGGCGCCCTGCTCAGATAGTGCATCTGGACGAACGCTTCAAAGCTCGCCTCCACCTGCAGCATCTCACAGGCGGCAACGTACCCCAGAATATTGATCCAGGAGTTGGGTACAAGTTGTCAGATACTTAGTTGGTATCCGTCCAAAATCCTCTCCACGGCCGGATGGAGAGGGAAGCGGAGGCCAGCTTGGAAGGCCGCTTCATAGCAGCCGAATGCTTTGTCTTGATAGCTGGCCAGGCTCGGCCAGGTTATGGTGTCACCCTCGTTAGGGACCGACAAAGTGTAGCCATAGCCTAGGACGACCTTGCGCCTAAAATTGGTAAGGCCGGATGCCATGGCGCTCCGCCTGCCTGGCGGAACATGCTGATAGTAGGGGGCTCTCTCCAAGCGCCTGGAAGCACTCGGCTCGGCCCAACTTTCCCCCCTATCCACTGCCAGGGACTCTCTGGCAGAATCTATGTTTGATCCAGCCTCCTCTGAAGTTACGGAGGCATTCTCTGTAGAAGATGACGAGGCCGACTCGTCACCAGAGCTCATATCAGAGCTAGGGGACCGCCGACTGGTGCCAGCGGGGTCCTCCCCTAGACTCTCTTCCGACGCCTGTCCAGAAGGCCCGGGTTGATGTTCTTCATCCGCCTCCCCCAGGATTCCATCACTGGGAGTTCCACTAGATGTGGGTGTATGGTAATAAGTGGGGGTAGGAGGAAGATAGGAAGGGCTGTCAGGGTGTTCCGACAGCTCACTTCGAGGCACTCTTATTGAGCCGTTTGAAAAAAACAATCGACCCATCCGAATGGTAGAAAACTCCATCAGAGCTACACTGCCTTGCTGTTCTTTTGATTCTGGCCATAGTTTCCTGCACAGACACGGAAATGGTCGGATTCGGAGAAGTTCGCAAAGCAGGGTCTTTGGCCAAGCATTCGGCATTGCTAGTTCTAGATTCAGCCGTCCCCGGTGACCGGCTGATCACTATCCTACGCCGTGCCGCATGCAATTGGGGAGCCATTTTTTCGAAAACAAAGAAAAAATGAAGAGTAAAAAGAAAATACAGGCGTTACCTTTAGAAGAAGGGAGAAAGACGCCTGGTTGACTAAAGAACGGTCGGACTGGTAGCCGAGTGTCGGATGCTTGAAAAACGCTTAGGGAATTTTGAGATTCTTTAAGTCAAAAAGTCCAAGATTCTCCAGAGATTCGCCAAGGTGTGAATCCAAGAGGGGGGGGTCAAACCTCACTATTTATAGGGGGGTAAAATCCTAATTTTTTCCCTCCAGTAAATTGTTGAATCTGACCACTCAGATACTGACACCTATCACAGGAGTCACATGCAATGCACGTGACCCCTGTGAGGGGCAAATGATTTTGGTATTTTATACCCGGCCAGGTGGCCCAATCAGAAAGTGCCACGTGTCCTCCGTATAGGTGCCATTTTGACCTATGGAATGATGACACGTGGAGGGTGGACTCTTCTCCGTCCTACGTGGACTGAAGGTCCAGCAGGGACCATTCAGGTGGCGACAAGTGTCACACAAAAAGTGCTTCAAAATCCTTTGGGCACAGTGACACATGTCACTCAGGCATTGGCCCTGGGATGGCGGCCTTCTAAGGCCCAAATCCCGAGGCGCCGCAAAATGGCGTGACCTAATTACTAGGTCACCAGATCCCAGGAAGGCACACTTTTCAAAAGGACCCTATAAATAGGGACATTTTGTCATTTATGACCAGGAGAGAATTTTTGACACGCAATACGAGACAATACGTCACTTATCTCACTTTACCTGAGCTTGGAATCCAAGCAGATAACTTTACTTCCGCACGTTTTATTTCCGAACGTTTGCTGACTTAATCTTCGGAGGCGGACCCCCAACCATCCGGAGGTCCGTTTGCTTTGCAGGTACAGGCGTCCTCAGTTGAATCTAGTTTCAGTGCTGTAACTCTCCCGAGGGACAAAAAACCCCGAAACAATTATGAAGAACATAAAAGGCATCATACTTTTAATCATACTTAACATTAAAGTTACCCTAGACATGATACTAGGAATCATAATAAAAACCTAAGCTTGAGCTCTATATCATAACATCAATAAAAACCATTAAAGTACTTACTTTGATGTCTCGTATCTCTTTCTAATAACAAAATACACACGTTAGTAACTTCAAGGAAAATAATAATCAAAACAATTAAATAATTGAAAGAGAGATTTGGGACCAAACCCTCAGAAATTAAACCTTTCACGTCTAGGGAGAAGGCAACTTCGAATATGGCTAGGTGTATCTTAGTCTAATGAATGCAGAATTTTTATATTTGAGAGAAGCTAGTTTAGAAAAAGAGAGAGAGAGAGAGAGCAATCAAGAGAATCTTGATGAGAGTTGGTGAATCGTAGAAAAAAATTGGTTATCGAAAACGGAGCTTTTAGGACGTTATTTATAAAGAAAATCAGCCAAAAAGATAAAATATCAAAACAGAGTTTTGGCGCACGTAAAACTGAATTAGCGCCAACGCTGGCTATTGGCGCCAGGCGCCAACATTAGCGACAGGCGCCAAGCGTAGCGCCAGGCGCTATAGCTGGCGTTTGGCGCTGATTTGGAAATTCACGCGTTTTCTTAAAATCAGATAAAAATTGCCGTACAGGAGGATAAAATCGTATTTCCCTAAAAAATACTCTTTGATTTTAATTAAAACTCTGAAAAGTCAACAAAAGTCAATTTATCAATGCTAATTGAATTAGGAATGAAAATAACCTTCTAGAAGAATCTAGAAGACTAAAACCATTTGTAATTGCATTAGGAATGATAAAACTATATTAGGCCCTCCCCTAGATCATTGGGCCGCATATAAGGCTCAAAACGGGCCCAGTTTTAATTGGCCATAACTTCCTCAATATTCATCGGAATTAGGCTTATAATATATCGTTGGAAATCTCTTGTCATGCCCTATCCAACTACACTACTATTGGACCCATATCATGGACCAACCAAATTGGATTGGCTGTTTTCTTAAAATAAGTTTTCAAAAATAGAGAGAAGAGAAAAGAAATTAAAACTTTCCGCAACACTAGACTTTCCACACTTTAACTTCATTCGATTATGATTCGACGCGAAAGGTACTCATCACCGAGTTTGGTTTTGGGGAGACACAAATGGGTGTCTACAGTTCCAGACCACTATGGAGTTAGCGATCTTATGGATCATAAAGGTGTAAAGGGGTGTAACCTTCACCCTGTGAACGGTTTACAAGTTCCTAAAACTTGTTGGCGACTCTTTTACTCTAGCTTTTTTCCCTTATTGGATGCCACCATGCTTAAGTATATGATCACAATGGGACTCAAGTGTGGGATGCTTGAAATATTCCCTACAAGAAGTAACAGTAGGACGAGGAATGCTAGAAGATGGAATAGTAGTGGTAGGAGGAGGAAGCCTAGGTGAACAATGTATGTGGCGGTTGAAAAGCACTAGTTTGTGGGGGTATGGTGAATGGGTGGTCTCATTGGTCGAGGGGATATGCTTATATGTGATGTGGACGTGTTGAGTGTAGATTGAGACGTAAATAAATCATATTTATGCAGGATGTGTGCTTGGCCAACTCGGATAAGGTTTCAATGCAAGATGAACTCAAAGTACGTAACATATCCATAGTAAAGAAAAGGGCCAACTCTGGCAACAACTCACGAGCAGACTCCATAATTCGAGTGCATCTTCTTACAACATCAGCTAATACATGTGACTAAAGAAAACCAAAAAAAAAAAAATTTAAAATTAGGCATAATAATATTAAAATCAACTATTCATTAATAAAGTTTATTATATGTAAAAGAAAAAGCGGTGAAATGAGGCTATATTATTACCAAAAAAATGTCAGAGTACGATGGTTGGTAATGGGTGGAGGGGCGTAGTAATGAGGAGTCTCGTGATGCGATAATACCACGCCATATAATACTCCATGATCTCACGACCTGTGAAGGTGGTGCCCATGACAATCGTGCTCTCACGACGACCCCACTCCTTCACATATGTATGATGCAAGGCCTCATATTTCTTGTTTTTGCCCCGACGATCCACACGATGAAGAGCAACTCTCGTGTCACAAGTACTAGGAATTGTCTGTTCCATTCAAAATTGGCGCAGAAATCGATCTAGGTGGTGGTACTCGACAATGTCAAAGCTAATCAATGGAGTAACTGAGTGCCATACATGTCTGTCAAATCGACATATGTCGGGTAATAACTCAAGTACCGTTTCGGTATATGGCTGCCAAGTCATCTACATTAAAAGAAAACAAAACAACCACAAACTATAATGATCAATTAGACTGCCACCATAAATATATATACCTAGCTAACCATAAATAATAATGTACCACTAAATGAATATCAATTGGAAACATCAGATCACTACCTGAAAGACAGAAAACGACATAAAGTTGGTTTCAGATGGACAAAAACAAGAAGACGGGAATTAATCTAAAACTTTCTGTCACAGACTCGTAGTCACAACATACATCAGAGATTTTGCAATGTACCACTAAATGAATATCAATTGGAAACATCATACAAGAATGATTAGTTAATCAACTTTAATAAAAGAAGTAAAATAAGTATCTTGTAGAGTTTGCTTACCCTAATATACATCACTAACAGTGGCGGACCCAGGATTTTCCGACTGGTGAGTCACAATCGATAATCAAATATGTTAAAATCTTACATGAAAACAGTGAACATAGGAAAGAGAGGTGGAAGGAAATACCAAAGTAAGGCACCAAATGTATATATAGAATCTATGTTATTAAGTTGAGAATATAAAAACTTGTTGAGTAATTTGTATACATTCTCTAACCGTAAACAATCAAGCATTAGACATGAAGAGCAAATCAATCCATAGAGTAGCATAGGCCAAGAATAACACCACTTAAGCAATGGTAAAAAGAAAACTTACCAACTTTCTTCTGCGTTTCTTCATTGATTGAATCTAGATGAGCCTGCAAAGACATAATGGTAGAACCGTAAAAACCAATTTGTGACTTGGCCACAAAACATAAAAAAAAAAATTAAAAAAATAAAAAGTCAAATCTTATTTATATAGGTTTCTCAAAACAAGCATATTGGATGTGCAAAATGAAAGAAGTAACATATTCGATCATACACATCATAGAATTTGACATAATTAACAAAAAGCTTCACATCAAAAGCCCCAAATATAACCAAAGAAATGAAAGCCTAGCAAAATTGGTCGTGAAGATCATCCAATTACAGTCCCAACCAAAGGGGTTAGACGAAAACATAAGCATTGATACTCGATATTCAGTATCTGACAATATACTACTCATAAGATTCTCTCCTCAAATTAATCCAAAATTATCGAGCCACAACCATTTCGACATCCATCAACAAAATACACCCAGATGCTCCCCACTAATCATCCAAAATCCAAACTGGAACCTAACACACCATAGATAACAGTTCCATCATCACTAATCAATTAAGTATCAATGAATACTAATCTATAAAACCATATCAACATATCATACATTCATACCATTATTTAAAAATCCTGTTAATCGACAATATCACATTCAAAGAAGCTGCAATTGCAAACAACAATGATACCAATAACCAATTTACTGAGCTGCATACATACCAAAAATATATATTGACCCATTAATCCATTTCGACAGTCAAAACCAAATAACAGGGATTAATAACCCCCCTCAGTCAATAAACAAAAACACAATAAATTACCAAACAATCAACAAAATTAAAGGGCATTGTATTATAAAATGAGCCAATCGACCAAATAAAGTCAAAAAATCGAAAACAAATCGATCAAATAAACACCAAAATAATCGAAAACCAATCGACCAAATAAAGCCAAAAAATCGAAAACAAATAATGATCAAATAAACCCCAATAAAAACGAAGCGATTTTGCTGAAATACACCCACAAAGATTGAACCAAAAAAATTCGAATACACATTGAACATGTCGAAAACAACAGGAACATATTACATATATGCAAAAATCCACGACAATCAAACCCAAAAATTTGAAACTAAATCAAGACAGAGAAACAAGATCGAACCTGATAAATGTGACGATGGGAAAGTCAATTAGTCATCTTCCACAACCTCGGACGCGAAGTCACGAACAGAAGAATGGAGATGAGGCGATTAACAATGGAGGCGATTAGGCGAAGTCACGACTCACCACTCACGAATCACGATTCACGAAGAGAAGAATGGAGGAGATTAGGCGGAGAAGGACTGAAGGAGAAGTCACGATTCACGAAGAGAAGAATCAAGAATGGAGGCGAATCAGGCGATTAAGCGGAATAAGCGGAGAAGGAGAAGCCAGAGCACGAAGAGGCTAGGGTTGAAAGCCTTGAACTCTCCGTCTCTCCTTAACTGATTTTAATTTTTTTTTTTTTTTTTTTTTTTTTTTTTTTTTTTAAATAACTTAAAATTTTTTTTTGGGCCTGGTGAGTCACTTGACCCACCAGGTCTAAGCCCAAGTCCGCCACTGATCACTAACATGATCACTAATAATATAGGGGAATTCACTAAGAACAACACACAACCAACTAACCAACAAACAGGAAATTTTGTCAATAACAACCAATTAAAGCACGTGTTTTGAAAACAACTACCTATTAATTTTTTTTTTAAAAGAACTACCACAAAGATATAAAAAGTTTAACTAGCACTACCACTTTAACAATTTTGGCTAAAATCTCCGGTATTTGGGTCTCACTTTTTATCACTTTTTACCTTTATAAAGGGTAATTTAGTCAATTTAGATGATGATTTTATGAGGTAAAGGTAAAAAGTAGAACCTACATGTCGAATATTCTAGTTGGAATTATTAAAGTGGTAGTGCTACTTAAACTTTTTACAATTTTGTGGTAGTTCTTTTAAAAAAAAAAATTTAATAGGCAGTTGTTTTCAAAACACGCACTTTAATTGGTAGTTTTTGAAAAAATTTCCAACAAACAATATGTATTAAAATCATTAAATTTAAAAAAAATATTAATGCCTGAGTATTTTTTTATGGTCAAGTGCGTCCCAGTAGTAAGAGAGTCCAATAGCTTTATGCCCATAGGAAAGGTAAACACGAAGCCAACTAACATTGATTAATTGATAAAATTGCTACTAAAAGTCCAAAGTATTAAAATTAAATATTTTTAGGAAGTATTAAAATGCAGAAATTGTGGCTACCTGCATGCTAAAGGATCAACTCCATGCTGATGTTGAGAGCCAATAATACATGAATCATCCTAAAGAGGATGCTCCGGGTCCTCTTGAGGAGGATCTCGGACCCTAGAAATTTATGGGCAACCTATGTGAATGTGCTCTCACGACCATAATTGCAAAAGTATTAGTGCACTTCCTACCTCACGGACCCCTTTATGAGCTTCTTGCACAGTTGTCGATACAAATAAGCAAGTTTCGCACTACCCCAAATGTACCTATCAACATGATCCAAGTCACGTAGTAATGGTAGGTAATATAAATAAGTTGTACTACATCGCCACTCTTTTCGGCAAAAATAATAGATCCCATCAGTGCTAAAATGTAGGATCTACTATATCTGCGGATAGTAGCATCATCGGTGTAACTGATATATCCATCAAGTATCGGCGAGCTTCAACGTTCAATTCACCAATTTTGTTCAAGTAATAGTCAAACTTCTTTTTTTGTCGAGCATCTGTAGCTTTTCAAAAAAGGTTCTTCACATAAGCATTCTTGAACTTAGTGTTGACATTAGATACAAAGTAGCGAATACAATATCTATGGTGGGATAGTGGCTCCTCCCAACCCCCACCAACTTCATTCATTGTAGCCAATATACCCTTATGTCTATTAGATATGACACACAACCCTTCCCTCTGAGTGACTACATGTCAAATGTACTTCATAAACCACCCCCAACTATCACTGTTTTCTTCTTCAACAATAGCAAATGCTAGTGGGAACACTAGACTTTCCATATAAATGAGTACCATATATAGTGATAAGGGGGCGACAATGTTTAAAACATCGATTGAAGGCTTAAATGCCCAAAACACTCGAAAAAAAGATATGAACCATAGGATCTTCGTTATAAGGTATTGTACACCATTCCACCACGGTTGCTGGATTAGACTCTTTCAATGCTTGCATGAACTTGGGTAAATCTTCATAGGATTTCTCCCAGTCACAAAAAATGCTTGCAATTGCCTTTTATTTTGCTAACCATGCTCTCTTGTAGGTGATGGTATAATGAAACCTATCCTTCACAACTTGCATTATCAATCGAATTTTTAAAGAAGGATCGACACGAATAAGATCTCTTATGATATTGCACAATTAATCAGAGGTGATGAGACGATGATCTATCGAATTGATGTCACCAACACAGTTGCTTGCATGGGGGCCATTATATCTAACAATTTTGAAAGTAGCAAGACAAAGATCGTTGATTGCACGCATCCTTCAAGCAAATTTACACTGAATCTTTCTTTTACACTCAACTACATATTTGGTGGGCTCACTCTCCAATACTTTAAATGAATGATTCATAGCAATGGAATAAGTTTTCAGTTCATCTTTCAACTGCTCCAAAGAATCAAATTGTTGGCCACTGGAAAATTCCCCATCAAAAGAGTTGTTATTGGACCAAGTCCTCCAAGAATCTTGCAAAATCCTAAGTGTATGAAGCTCAACAGTGTCACTGATGATGCTATTCAACTTTTCCTTTTTTCTTTCTCACTACGGGATAGGGAAAAGGAATGGTTACGAGATGAAGGTACTTGTTCCTTTCTTACGTGGGACAAGGTCTTTCTTGTTAAATTCATGGGGCAAGAGAAGACTGCAAGACTGAGGAACGAACTCACTACTTTTCATTTATCTGATGATGAGTCTCTGTATGAAGCTTGGAGAAGGTTTTGGCAAATACAGAGACAATTTCCTTACAATGGTAAACCTAAGTGGATGCTAATCCAGACATTCTACAATGGTTTGACCCATGAATTTCGCATATATATTGATGATGCGTCTAGAGGTTCTATCATGACAAAGAATCCTACTTAGGCAAAGGATTTGATTGAAAAGATGCCGGAAAATAATAACTACCATCCAAGAGGACGACGCAATGCTAAAAAGGGAGGTATGCATGATGTTGTTTCTCTAACCCTTTTAACTAGTTTTGTGCAGGCATTGACAAGTAAGGTCGACAAGATTCAAGCAAGATCTTCTTATGGCTCACCCGAAACTTGTCAAATGTATGTGTAATGTACAAGATCACATTGCACCTGATTGTCCACAAAATTCAAATGAGATGTCGATCGAGGAAGCCAATGCATTCTACACTACAAATCCCAAAAGGCCATATGACCCTCATTCAAACACATATAATGAATATTGGAAACATCATCCAAATTTCTCTTACAAGAATACCAAAACTCAAAAAAATCCACCTCCACCACCACCTCAAAACAACAATTATAATACACCACCTGGTTTCCAAGAAAGACCACCTCTAGTCCAACAACTTGTGCAACAACCTATGCAACCACCTCCACAAAAATATAACCTGAGTTAATGATGGAGAACTTTGTTACCACAACAAATAACAACATCCAACAACTACAAGCTCAGAACAAGCTCATGGAAAATCAAATAATTCAACTTGATCATCAAATTGGCCAATATTTGAAAACTCCGGGTGCCTTTTTGGGTCAAACAGAGCAACCACCAAAGGGGTATATGAATGTTGTAACTTTGAGTAGTGGAAAGTAGTTGAAAGATCCTCCCATGAGGGAGCCATCAAAGAAGTTTGTTGAAAAGGTAGTCATAAAAGAGAAGGTGGTTGATGGTAGTGTGATTGAGGAAGAGCCAAAGGCATCAACTCCACCACCGCTTGCTCCATATGTGCCATAAGTTCTTTTCCCGTAAAGGTTGGCTCAAGCTAAGTTGGAGAAAAAGTATGGAAAATGTCTTGATATTTTGAAAAAGCTTCACATCAACATTCCATTCTTAGATGCAATATCCGAGATGCCATCTTATGTAAAAATTTTAAAGGATATGCTCTCTGACAATAAGAAGATAGAGGAGAATGCTACGGTTGCGTTGAATGCAATGTGTAGTGCTAATTTACAAAATACACTTCCTAAGAAAGTAGGCGATCCGATTAGCTACTCAATTCCAATGAAGCTTGGGGATATAGAGATTAACAAGGCACTATGTGATCTTGGTGCAAGTGTGAGTCTCATGCCGCTCTCTATTTGCAAGAAACTTCAAATTGGTGAACTAAAGCCTATGCGCATATCTCTACAACTTGCGGATAGGTCGATTAAATTTCCTTTGGGTAAACTTGAAGATGTTCCTCTTCATGTGGGAAAATTCTTTATCCCGTGCGACTTCATTGTGATGGAGATGGAAGAGGATGCACATGTCCCCATCATTCTTGGTAGACCATTCTTAGCCACTGCAGGTGCAATTATTAATATGAAGAATGGTAAAATCACTTTTGAGGTTGGCGATGAGAAAATGGAGTATTCACTATTGAATGCTATGTGAAATCCTTCAATGGGAGAGACTATTTGTCAAGTTGATGTCCTTGATGATTTGGAACGTGAGCAACTTCCCTTGATTAAAACATATGATGCACTTGAAACGGTGTTGGTGGAAAGTGCCAATGAGGAAGATTGGGAAACAAGGGAGTGCACACGGCTACTTGAGAAAGGAAAAGTCAATCCAACCACCGCTCTAGTGAAGGAAGTCCTTAATGCATCGAGTGTTGGGGATAGTATTACGCCTCTCGAGGTAGAGTTAAAACCCCTTCCCTCTACTCTTAAATATGCATATCTTGGTCCTAATAATACATATCTTGTTATTGTTAATGCTGAGCTTAATGACACGAAATTAGAGTAACCACTCACTGTTTTGAGAAAATATAAAAGTGGTATTGGGTACATCATTAATGATATTAAAGGTATTAATCCTTCATTTTGTATGCATAAGATAATTCTTGAGGACGATCATACCTCCTCCATAGAACCTCTAAGACGACGTAATCCAAATATAATGGAGGTAGTTAAAAATAGGTTCTTAAATTGCTTGCTGCAGAAATAATCTACCCTATCTCAGATAGTAAGTGGGTAAGCCCTGTACAAGTAGTTCTACATAAAGGGGGTATGACCATTGTCAAGAATGACAAGGGTGAGACAATCACTAATAGAATTGCTACAGGTTGGCGAATGTGTATTGATTATAGGAGGTTGAATAAGGCCACCCGAAAGGACCCTTTTCTCCTTCCCTTTATTGATCAGATTCTTGAACGTTTGGCTAAGCATTCCTTTTTCAGCTACTTGGACGGATATTCTGGTTTCTTTCAAATTCCCATTCGTCCATCTGATAAGGAAAAGACTACTTTCACATGTCCTTATGACACCTTCGCCTATTGAAGAATGCCTTTGGTTTATGTAATGCTCCAGCCACGTTCCAACTTTATATGATAGCAATTTTCTCAGGTCTTATTGAAAATTCAACGGAAGTTTTCATGGATGACTTTGCTGTCGATGGAACATCTTTTGATTTATGTCTTGAAAATTTGGAAAAGGTGCTCCATAGATGTAAGGAAGTCAATTTAATTTTGAACTGGGAAAAATGCCATTTTATGGTACAACAAGGAGTTGTTCTAGGCCATGTGGTATCACATAAGGGTATTGAGGTTGATAAAGCAAAGATAGAGGTCATTCTCTTTGTTTTTGAAAACCTATTTTAAGAAAACAGCCAATCAAGTTTGGTTGGTCCATGATACGGGTCCAATAGTAGTGTAGTTGGATGGGGCTTCACAAGAGCTTTCCAACGATATATTATAAGCCCAATTCCGATGAATATTGAGGAAGTTATGGCCAATTTACCAAACTGTGCCCGGTTTGAGCCTTATATACGGCCCAATGATCTAGGGGAAGGCCTAATATAGATTTATCATTCCTAATGCAATTAGGAATGGTTTTAGTCTTCTAGATTCTTCTAGAAGGTTCTTTTCATTCCTAATTTAATTAGCATTGATAAATTGACTTTTGTTGATTTTTCAGAGTTTTAATTAAAATCAAAGAGCATTTTTGAGGGAAATACGATTTTATCCTCCTGTACGGCAATTTTTATCTGATTTTAGAAAATGCGTGAATTTCTGAAATCAGCGCCAAACGTCAGCTGTAGCGCCTGACGCTAGTGTTGGCGCCTGGCGCTAGTGTTGGCGCCTGGCGCCAACAGCCAGCGTTGGCGCTAGCACTGTCAAAACGGTTTGATAGTTCGGTTTCAGTTCGGTTTGAAATCGGTTCGGTATTTAATCGGGTCGGTTTGGAATCGGTTTAATTGTCTCACAGGTCGGTTTTGGTTCGGTTTAAATAGTTATCGGTTCGATTCGGTTTTGGTTTATTCTTAAGCGGTTTTAATTCGGTTCGGGTTGTAAACAGTCCGGGTAGTAAACGGTTCGGTGCAGACGGGTTGCAGTTTGATAACGCTGTGGTGTAAACGGTTTTTATCCCGGTTCAAACAGTTTCGGGTTGGAAACGGTTTCGGGTTAGAAACAGTTCGGTTCTTTTTTGGTTCAGTTTATAACTGGTTTGGTTCTTTTTCGGTTCAGTTTTTAACTGGTTCGGTTCTTTTTCGGTTCAGTTTATAACTAGTTCGGTTCTTCAATTGTTTAAGCACTTTAACGTTATTCATATCGGTTCCATTTCAAGTTTACTAAATTACGGTTCGGGTCGGTTTTCGGTTTCAAAGAATAAATTGTTTATCGAGTTGTTTGGATTCGGGCAGTTAAATGGTTTTGGTTTGAAATTTGAAAGTACTTGCTAACCTTTTGCGTTCACAAGTTTTATATAAAGTCGCGAATAATTTCATATTTAGGCATCATATTATAAACAAATTCTCATTGATTTTATAAATACATATTATGTTCTGTTTCAAGTTTAGTCATACTGATCTTACTAGTTTATTACGAAGTAGATTATAAGAGTTAGTGTATTAATGTATTATTGTTTTACAATTAGGTTATTATATGCTTCTTATTTAATCATTTATATAATACACATAGTATCATAATCATGATTTGATGAGTTCTTGTGAAATGGAAATTTGCAATTTGGTAATTTGATACTTGATTAGTCAACAAGACTGATAATTATGACTCGTTTATCATTATATATTTTCATGAAATTATGAAGATATTACAAAGTGCTTTGATTTGTATAGTGAAAGAAAACACTAATGATTGATTAACAAGGTAATATTGATTAGTTCAATCAATCATATGTACACATTATTAACGCATGGCATCTAACCATCTCATAGTTAAATATTCGTATCATCGTTATTCGTATATATTAGTACAAAGTTATAGACTCATTACTTCATTAGTGATCTTTTTAAATTTATCTATTTATACATTTCATTAATATAACGTTTTTATAATTTTTACGTGTATGAAAATAAAGATATACTAGTAGTCTAGTAGATGTTTTAATACATGTCTTGGGCACTGGTCCCGATCAAATGGGGCAAAAAAATACTAAAGAATTGAGGGAATAATATTTTTGTAGATGAATGTACAACACACAAACACACACGGATCACCACTCTCAACCAAAGATTAAAAAATCAATGGTTAGATTCTTTCTCCCACAACACACACGGATCACCACTCTCAACCATAGATTAAAAAAATCAATGGTTAGATTCTTTCTCCCACAACACACACAGATCACCATTCTGAACCATAGATTAAAAAATCAATGGTTAGATTTACATGAAACCCTTTCACTCTCACTCTCACTTTACCACTCACGGGCTCACGGCGCCTCTCATTCTCACGGGCTCAGCGCCTCTCCGTCTCCCTCATTTACGGCGGACCTTGAAGCTGTCCCGATTCTGCCTCTCTCCCCCTCTGCTCAGCACTCTCTGTCTCTCCCACTCTCTATCCTCCATTTAAGCAGATTCTGAGGTAAGATCGTTTTTCATAATCTAGGGTTTAATCAAACTATCATTGATTTAATTTTCAGTATTGTCAATTTAGGGTTCAAATTAGGAGGGGTTTGTGAAGTATTGTTTATAATTACTGAAGCTATGAAATAGTACAATGAATACTTTTGTTTTTAGGATTTTACTGTGTTTAATTTAGATTGATATACTTAATCCAAAAGTATTTTATGTGAATTTTTTTTAGCCTAATTTGATTCGTAATTGAGTCAAATTTGATTGTTATTGACCTGCATTATTTTTTGGGCCCTAATCGAGCCATTTTAATTAAATTGAATTCAGCCATTTTCAGCCATTTTAATTAATTTGATTTCAGCCATTTTCTAAATAAAAATAAAAAATCCAAAAAAAACTTACAAACAATTGGTTCAAGGAAATTACTATGAAAATGGATCTTTTCTCCTTGTAACATGGCTCAGGGATGGAAATGTATGAATTTGAATTAACAAAATTAAACTACGAGTAGTTCATATTGTTTTGTTTCTGTTTTTTTTTAATAGGAGCAAGGGTTTGGAAATTATGATGAGCATACTATAGATTCTCAAGACACTGTTCAGAATCAAGATTCTTCTCAACAACAAGTCACTACCACTAGTGGTAGTAAGCGTCAACGAACATCAGATGTGTGGAGGCATTATATAAAAAAGTTTGTAAACGGTTCGATTTAGAAGTGGTTTGGTTCATAAACGGTTCGGTTTATAACCAGTTCGGTTTACAATCAGTTCGGTTTTTAAATGGTTCGGTGCAAACGGGTAGCAGTTTGCTAACGGTTCGGTGTAAGCGGTTTTTTTGCCAGTTTAAACGGTTTCGGGTTGGAACCGGTTTCGGGTTAGATACGGTTCGGTTCTTTTTCGGTTCGGTTTTCTTTTAGTTCGGTTTATATTCGGTTCGGTTTGTTAACGGGTTCGGTTCTTATACGGTTTAACATTATTCGGGTCGATTCGATTTCGGGTTTACTAAAATACGGTTCGGGTCGGTTTTTGGTTTCAAAAAAATCAGTTTTTAATCGGTTCGGTTCTCATTTGGGTCGGTCGGTTTCTAGTAGTTAAACGGTTTCGGCTTGAAATTTGACAGCACTAGTTGGCGCTGGTTCGATTTTTTGTGCGCCAGACTCTGTTTTGATATTTTATCTTTTTGGCTGATTTTCTCTATAAATAACGTATTAAAAACTCTGTTTTCGATAACCAAATTGGATCTAAAAACCAGTTTTAACCAGATTTCACCTACAACTAATATTCATCTACAACCAGTTTTCATTCTCATTCTCTTCAATAATCATTCACCAATTCTCTCTCTCTTTTTCTAAACTCGCTTTTTACATACAAAATTCCGCATTCATTAGATTTAGAAACACCTAGCCATATTCGAAGTTGCCTTCGCCCTAGACGTGAAAGGTTTAATTTCTGAGGGTTTGGTCCCAAATCTCTATTTCAATTATTTAATTTGATTGTTTTGTTTATTATTTTCCTTGAAGTTACTAACGTGTGTATTTTGTTATTAGAAAGGGGTACGAGGCATCAAAGTAAGTGCTT